GCGTGCCGGGGAGCCGGGACGGGCCGGTCGCCACCGCCGGGGATGCTGCAGCCTCGGCCGGGTCCCTCGGCAGACCCAGCCTATCACAGCTGCGGGCCCATTTCAAACTTCCTTCTTGCGGTTTATGTCGCCTCGATTTATTCATTTCCTTGTAATTTGCAGATAGACATCGATGTTTGCTATATTTAAACAGTGCCTGTAACTGTGTGGGGGGGTGTAGGTAAGCCATTTTATTTGTAGAGCGATGGTTTTAAAGGAAAGTGAGACTTCAGAGTCATCCTTCAGGCTGGCGCTGTCTGCGGGTACGGGTGACCTGCATCCACGCCCAGTGACAGCAGGCAAACCCCGGCCCAGGGCCAGACAGCTCCTCCAGCTCCTCCGGCTTCCTGCCACCACCGCCAACAGCGCCCTGTCGCACACAGACAGCTGCACAAAGCTCAGCAACCAAGACAGCTGATGAGTTCAAATTGTAAAAGTTTTAATATGGTGCAATTAAAACTTCCAGGGTTCAGTTACAGTGGGGGTGGAAAAAGCTCAAGAAGAAAACAGGGTGCTGGGTTGTAAAGGGCAAATATTCCCATGCAAAACATCTGTCGTTTATTTCATCACTTTCCTTTGGAAAGTCCATGTTAAGCTGGTAGGATGGTAATCTATGTTAAAAGCCACAGAGCAGCCAATTCTCTGGATGGAGGGTCACCAACCAGTTTGGGAAAAGATGAGATAAAGGCTGAGGACACCAAGAACTCTTCAGACACAGTCTGGGTTTTTTAGCTGAGATGTGAAAACCCCATTGCTCTAAACAACTCTGACCTTTCCTATTTCTTGGAGACTGATGTCTCTGCAGTAGATGAGGTCACTCACCCTGTTTTTGAAGTCTCTCTCTCACTAATCCTTGCATGGGTTTTTTTTCTGTGGGAGGGGACAGTCAAGAAGAGGGCTAAACCTCTTGATCATGTGTGAAAAAAGGAAATGAAAATGAGCTATTGAAGATGTATCAAGGCCTGACCCATAACTTTGGTATCTGAGGATATAAAAGATGTATCAAGGCCTGACCCATAACTTTGGTATCTGAGGATATAAAATCATGGAACCTAGAAGTTTGAAAGGAAACAAGTAAGATCCCTAGTCGTAAAAGTGATTTTATTGGAGGCTATATGCCCTGTGCTAGAAACTAGAAATGCTCAGCCTTTGCTTTTCTGAGACAGTTATGAATGGCTCTGGCAGGAGCGTGAGAAACCATTGATTCAATCACCTTGAGAAGAAGCCGCACACCAGCTTCCTGCGGGAAAGCCTAGCATAAATGATTGCCATGATTATATTCTGCTGATCAGTTCATGGGTTTGAGCGTCAGAATCACAACTGGGAAGACACAAGAACAGCCTACTCACAGTTACAGGAATCGTGGTGCTGTCTAGAGACTAACCCTCAAAAGCTAGTCCTGCTTGGCATGCACAACTAAGAGGCACTGTCTGCCTTTAGATCTTGCTGCCAGTGTAGAGGAAAACTGATAGAGGACCCCAAGAGAGAGTCAAAAGGGTTAGCTAGACCCACAACCTAGCAATGCACGTTACCAAATGTCTGCAACCACCAGGAAAAAAAGGGAATTTCTTGATGACCATTTGCCAAAGCATATTCAGCCAGGAAGAGGAGGCATAAGGCTGTATGAGATAAATAGTCCCTGATATATGAGTAGGACTTATCCACGGACAATGACAGGCTAATGCGTTTTGGAGAAAAACAGCAGAAGTGCTTGAACCTGAAAGCATCTGTCCACTGTGCTGCACTGGCCATTCCCAGGTCACAGAAAGAATCTGCACCTTGCAGACCTGAGGAAATCTGGGCTCTCTATCTGCCTGATCCAGATTTAAACATCTGCTCTTCACGGAAGAAGTGAGAAGGAGCAAGACGAACAATATGGTGAGGATGGGATGAAATGTGTGCTTCATGCACATGGTGATGTACACACTGCATTTGCACTGACGTAGCTGAGACAGTTTGGAAAGCATATTTCAGGTAAGATGTAAGTGTGTGCTCTAACCTCAGCAGGTTCACATGGACATTCACAGAACTCCCCCTGGGAGGTTGTTTCGTTGATACTACACAGACATCATTTCTGCCTGGCTAGGAAAAGGATTAAAAGCTGGGGTAAGCAGACAGGACAACCAGAGTCCATAAGTTTTTGGATTTCAGACAGTCCTAGAGCAAGAATCATAACAGAAAGCCCAAGGGTCAAAGATGAAAACACTTTCATCTTTGGAGGGAATATGGAGGGAACATGGAGGGCATGCTTTAGCTGTGGTTTGTGAAAAGTCACCTAGATCTGTCTATTCTCTTAGCTTAAAAGAAAGAAATTTTTGCATAATTCATGACATGTCTTTTGTAGGGAGCAGGAAATGATAGCTGAAGCCTGGAAGACTGATCTGAGAGAAGTGCCCAGCACACCAGGTCTGGTGTCAGCTGGCAGCACTGTAAGCTGGAGTGGCGGGAGGCTGCCAGCTGCCTGCAGAGACATGCGAGGCAGCCGTGCTGTGCAGAAACAATAAAAATGCATTTGCAAAATGATATCCTGTGTTTCATTGCCATTGTTTACCAGAGTATGACGCTACTCCTATCTAAGAGATGAAAACCTGGACCAGGCTCTTTGCACTCTTGAAAATTGCCTTTTTGTGGAACGTCACTCTCTGCAGAACCACTCAGACATCAGCTGTCCAGTCAGCCTCTGCTAGAGCCAAGCAGAAAAAGAAGTCCAAACGCAGAACCAAGGCATCTGTCCTGTTTTTCAGTTTCCACTTGAGCGCAGGTGATTACCTTTTCCTCTTGCCAGCTGCCAAAAGGACAGTGACAACCCATCCAATCAGCGTGTTCATAAGTTATTTAACATCTATCCTTCCAAGAGTCCTATTCTGAGATGCCTAAGCCAGCTCCTCCTTCACTGTCGTTTCAGCATGGTCAGGGCATGGAGCATTCTACAGGCATTGGGCCAGCTGGTTCCTGAAGCCCAGCAGTGGAGCTGGTTGTGGGTCACAGTGGATGTGACCACTGCTCTGGGATGCAGCAAGGGTGTGCTTACTTGGCTACACTCTTGAAAGCTAAGTGCTTGAATGGCTGCACACCAGCTCCCTCACAACTATTCCGAGTCACAGGGACCTGTTGACACCTCTTCAGAGACAACCAAACTCATAAGCATTAAATCAAAGGTCAGTAACACTTAGTCGACTACCAGCCGGATCAGAGTTCAGATAAAAACCACCCTGGCAATCTTTAATAACTTGCCATCCAATTTCATTTAAATTTGACACACAGTTCTGCCTGGGAAAGGAGATACGACTGTTTCAATCTGCTTGGCCTTTTTGGTGAGTACTCTTCCTCTCTTCCCTCCCCCTTCCTCCCCCTTGCCTCTTTACAAGGGTACACTGACAGTGATCTGAGAGCGTGCAAGAGAAAATGCTTTACTTTTTCCTGAAAGCCCTGTGCTGAGGGTGGTGTTTCCCCACCTCCAGGCTGCTGACAAACGCTGATGTAAACACCATGCGTATGCCCAGCTAAAGGCCACAGGGGTTTTCACGTGAATCCTGCGTTTTTTCCACAAACCCAGTTACATTGTACTTCAGCTTAAAATGTATCTCCTTGTTTCTGGTTAACCTACAACCCCCCTAAGGCTAGTACAGTTTACATCAGTCGGCAAAACTGCTCAGCAGAACCAAATTTGGTATATAGGTGCTTCTCTGTCACAAAACCCTTTCAAGAAACAGTTGCAACCGTGGCTGTATTAAAATCAGAAAAACCAACACTGACACAAAAAACGTTTGAAAAAAAAAACCCAAACAGCTATGCCTTTGGTGTTGACAGGAGTAAAACATGTCATTTACAACGCCACCGAAAACATAACAGGAAGGAAGTAGACCTCAGAAACTATAAACAGAGTTTGACAGAGGTAGGAAGTACCTCAAATGCTTTCACATTGTGACTGTAAAAAAGATACTAAAAGGAGCAAATGCTTCCAGGTTTGTTTTTTTTTCTTGTTTGCTTTTTGTTTCTTCCCCACTTTAGCTATTCATAGTTATTTTGAACAGTAAGAAATGGTCACAAAAGTAAATGCAGCTTTAAGTCCTCATATGCAAAACAATTTATGGTACAAAAACCAGCTTGATTTTCCTTCCACTCATCCCCCTGCACCATTCCTCCAAGCAAGTTGAGTTTGGTCAGAAATTGGATGGTGCTGTTCTCCCTCCCTCCCCACAGCTGCTGGCTTTAAATTATGCTACTTCAAGGCAAATAATTAAAAGCTCGTTCCAAAGCCAAAAATTATAATGCACCTCGATAGTCAATAGGAGTCTGCACAAAAAAAAAAAAATACTCTCCCGACCATTTTCAGATGTTTCACAGGTCTCACAAATGTACTTCACACCTTGCTTGCTCTGTAAGCTCCTGTGCCCAAAAACCCCTCTTAGGACCCTGATTTCAAACAAAGAGGGGCTACCTGGTAACTTCCCTCCTATTTGCAACTTCACTATTTTAGTTCTTCACTGCTTTACCATCCTCCTTTTCACCTTTTCCTAGCTTTACTCACTTTAAAGTGCACTGGAAACTATATCAACTAGAAGCTAAGTGGCGGCCAGAGGATCCCCATATGCTGTGCTGGGCAGGAGAGTACCAGCCTGGTCCCCAGCTCCAGAAGCCCTGGAGGGGCAGGGACAGAGCGTGGCGGCACCAGATCCCCAGCTACAGGGCTCTGCTGCACTGTCCATGGACCTGGAGACCAACAGCCGAAGGAGAAGCTCCCTATTTTCCCTTTTTCTGCTACCTGTGGCTAATACTGCAGACATTTCCGTAAACAAAAATCCTTACCTTTTGACCTTTCTCTGTACTTTTGGCTCAGAACAGAGTTCCCCATAGACAGCCAGCAGCGCTGCCCAGGTTCACAGTGGAGAACCACACACGTTAGATTTGTCCCACTACTGAAAACAACACATACACACCGAGTTGTTAGGGAAATAGAACTTTATTCCAAGAGGTGAGCTGAAGCAATGAGCATATGAAGCAACAACCACTAGAAAAAAAGTGAAAAACACATCAAATATTTGTATTGTACCAGTTAAGTTTGAACACAGAAGTCCCTTTCAGTAAAATGTATGCGCAGGACAAAAGCACATGCGAAGCTCAGATGGTCACCTAGAGCATTGCTTTTAATGTCTAAGAACAAGGTTTCCCCTACAAAATTCTTTAAGCCAGGGAAAAAAACCCTTCAAGTAACAAAGTAGAAATGATCTGTTCATTCTGCTTGGCACTGTGGAGAAGGAGGGGGATAATATATCCCAAAAGAGTATGCATCTTTAAGATGTATAAATTCAAAGTCCCTAAGACAAGTCTGCTGCCAGACCAAGTACCGTTTTTTCTTCTTCCTCATTTAGGAAGTCAAGTGAGCTATGTCTGCTAAGCACAGGGGATCATGTTCTGGAGTGAAAGCTGCTAAGATCACATGGTCTGCCTGCCAGCAAGGAAACGTCATTGACACACACACCCAACAGACCTGTTCTCTTTGTCTGGTAACGGCACCCTATCACCGAAAGCTGCAAACTGCATCAAATTCTGCAAACATTCAAACAAGTGTTTCCTTGACTGTCTTAGTACAGGAAGCCAAATGCTGCTCTCCTCGAGCTCTTCCTTCACATTCATTTTAGTACCACTGGAAGAAAGCTGCAAGTGCACACAAACAGCAGAGCTGGCTCTGCTTAAGTCAGAGGTGGTGGTTATTTTAACCTGGCTTATGCATGTGACATCTAAAAGGGGTAGCTGGACCATTTCTGTGCTATTTGCCAACTTCATTCTAATGCATACATATATACATACATATATATATATATGTGTGTGTGTGTGTGTGTGTATAATGCATGCATAGTAGCTTACACGTGTAAGAAAAATGCTATTTATTTATAAACCTGCTCTTTGGGACTCCAGATTTTTAGTGGTTAATCCACTAAATTCACAGGTAATATGAGTTGAACGGTCACTTTCCTTCACACAGTACCATAAATGCATCACTTTAGAAACTGCTATCATGGAGGCTAATCCAATAACAACAATGGCAGCAACAAAATTCATTGTCAGGACAAGTGTCAGTCAGGCATTAAAAAAATATGTCTCTGAAGAATTGCATTGTTTTCAAAAAATACAAGGAAATATTCTATACAAGAATATAGGCATCACACTTATGAATCTAAATTTATAACCACTTACATGTATTAGCTATTTCCAATAAACCATCTACATTTGCTACCCAACTACAGTAGCTACAGTTTCAAATTGGGAACACGGCAAATTTATGTACTTTCCCTGAGATCAGTAATCCAAAATAAATAGCCCTGCAAAGGTAACAGTGTAAACTCTGGATTTAAGTCTTCAGTAAGGATCAGTCCTCAAAAGCCACGGGGAACATTAAGCAAACGTAAACACAGCAATCATTTTGTCAGTTTCGAGTTAATTCTCAGTGACAGTGGAACCCTATGGGAGACGTAGCATCCAAATGTTGAAGACCAGTCATTTTTATTGTACAATACAGTTGTCCTAGTTGCTCACTTTCCTATCATGGAACCCCTGAACACATCCAGCTGGGATTGTGGATCTCCAAATAGTGACCCAGATCTGCTCTTCCACTCTGCACAATCTTTACAGCGCCTTTAAAACCACTCTTTCTGAGGTTCTTACTCTTGAATTGAGGAATGGCGAATAGATCTGTGATAATCCTCTGGACTAGTCACAAGTTCTGGTAAATCATAGCCCCTCAGCAGATGTCCACTGTTTTGTTGAGCAAAGTAATACAGCTGCCTGGCAAACATTGGTTCAACCTTAAGAACAGACAAAATGTTAATCAGACATGTGACAAAACTTCACACTCCTCTTCTTAGTTATTCAGGGTGACTTTAAGTTAATCACAAGATGAGACAAAACAGTTCTGCTTACCAGAACTGAAACACAATTCCAACAGTCTCACTGATCTCTGTTTTAAGCTAGGTCTTGCCTAGCCTAGCCTACCTAGCTCTGCTGCCGAGTTCCTCACTACCTGCACGCACTCCTTACCTTCACCACCTTCATTTAGAAGGGATTATAGCAGTGACACAAATGATGTATGAAAAATTGCAGTCCCTTAGCCAGGCCCAGGATGTGAGCAGTGCCTGCAGGACACACATGCCCCAGGCCACTCAAGGTCTGTTTACATACATGTTGAACACGCCAAAAGTCCTGTCTGCATTGCAAAGTACTTTGAGGACTCAACTTGAAATTGGAGACTCAGGTAGGCTGAGGTATGTCGCCAAATGACTGTGTCTGAAGTTAGATTTCAGTTTAACATCAAGGTTATGCTTGTTTCTGTTCATTCAAGCTCTGATGAGGAATTTGTTCAACCACCAAGTGGGATTTATATGAGTTAACTCTGCCTTCACTTCTGCCTCTTCAGAAACCACCACTCCCTCTCAGGGCTTTGGGCTCTGACTAAATATTTGAGCTGCACACTGAGAACTGAGAACCTGAAGCTCTCCTTGCTCTCAGTGGAGGACAGGCTGGATGATAGTTCTCCACAACCCTCTCCTGCTGGTCAGCCAATCCCTCCATATTAAAAGACACAGTAACTGTTTCGGAGGAATTAAATGCCATGGTGGAGATGGGAAGGCAGTGGGGCAGGTGCCCCAGGCAGCCTCTGGTGCATGACTGTTTGGTGGGATGGTAGAGTCCCACCAGCCCACAAGTCAGAAGAGATCAAGAGGATGAGCAGATTGAGCAATTGGTGAAGGGGAAGCAAAGCTCTAGAAAGATCAGCAGGTACAGGCTCACAAAGAAGATGCCAGGACAGGAGATGGATAAGGGGGCTAGAGAGAGGATCTAGGAAGGAGGGATGGAAAGGCAGAAAGCCAAAACAGGAACAGAAAAGAGCTGAAGAAGAGTCAGGAATGGGCAGCTATCTCTAACTAGTCACTGCACAGCTCAGGATGGGTTTGTGAGCTTCTCAACTTCCACCCCAGAGACCTCCTAGGCAGAAATGTGGCAGCACAAAAGCTACACAGCCTAAGGAGAGGCCACAGCTTATGGCAGAAGTCTGACTTGGGACCCATCCTGCTACTCAAGGGGCTTTCATAAAATTTAGAAGAGATGCCAGTTTTCTTCTCAAAGATGCAGTAAGCTAAGCCCTGCTGCTAATGTGAGAATTACCACCTCTCTTGTGGTTTTATGGGCCAATACAGCCAATTCAGAAAGTACCTGGTCTCAGTCTCTGCCATCACCCTCTCTCAGAGAGCATCCCGAAACAGCAGCTTTGAGTGTGTGTGAACTGAGGTCACTCAGCCCACGAGCCTGACACCTA